AAAGTCAGGCCTGGGCGGCGATGGCGGCGGGGGCTCGGACGGGCCGCGCTCAGGTTTGAGCTTGGTTAACGTGTTAAGCATCTTCCACTGCGCGGCCTGCCACACACCCAGCTGGACCTCGGCGGTTTTGACAGAGCCTCCGAGACACTTAGTTTCGATGCTGACGGCGATTGGCTTTTGACTTAGTGCGCGGAAATCGGTGTGGTTGATGGAAGAACCCGGCAGACGGCTGCTGATGCCGTCGATAGCCTGCAGGGCGGGGGTGGTGGCCATGCGTCCTTTGGGCCATTTGGGGTCGATGCTGAGGCAGAAGTCGACCATGTTCCCGTTTTGTGAGCTGGCGGGGAGGTAATCCCTCTGGATCCGAGCCGAGGTGCATGGCGTGACGTTGACTTGACTGCGCCTAGGTATCGCGAGCCTCAGCAGCGGGAAGTGCACAGTGGCGTTCCAGCCAGCCTTGTCATACCACTCCTCGTGGCACTCGGTCGCCGCGTCTAGAATCTCTTGGACGCATTGCAGGCTTGGGGACTCGAGGTTCTCGCTAATTTTTTTGTGCCCTTGCCCGTCCTGGCCAGAATTCTCCTCGAAGTAGGCGCTGTCCCTAAAGCTGAAGGCGATGAGCTCTGGTTTACGGGATTGCGAAACGAAAGGGATAGCACCGTCATGGACTTCCCCAAAGTCCCTCAAAAGCTCCTGCAGCGGCAAAGGCAGCGTGAAATCATCCTGATCCTGGCTGGAGGCGCTGGCAAAGGTGAAGACTTTGACCGGCTCGTGGCTAACCTCGAGCTGCCTCCGTCTCTTGCGCGTGGATGCCTGGCTCGAGGTACGTGTGCGGCTGGAGCCCCGGCTCCGGCTGTCGGTCTCCGAGTGGTCGGCTGGTGCGCTTTGGGAGCCGTGAATCGCCCGCTGCGGCACAATCCTGCCTGGCCTCGGCGTCTCCTCCGCGTCGTCGCGGGAGCCGCGATGTCGTTTCGCCTCGGGCGTTTGCCTCCCCCCTGTATCCGCCCTTGTGTCCGTCCCTGCGTCCGTCCTCGTGTCCATGTGGTTCACGGCCCCTTTATGAGATAAGGGCGGGGTGTGGAGAGATGCCGCCCCGTCAGCCAGCGCGTCGTGCTGTGGGCAAAGCGGCGCGGTGCCTCGTCGTTTGTTGGCGCCGGCGGCGTGGGGGGAGTCCCGCCGTCGCTTGCTCGCCCCAGCGGCGTGGGGAGAATTCCGTCGTCGTTTGTCGTCACCCGGGTGGGAAGAGAGCGGCACGCCGTCAAGCCAGAGAGAGATGTCTGTATGCATGAGGTGGATCGTCGGCTGTTGCGGTGCGAATCGACGTTGCGGTACGCGCTGTGGTGCGCAGTGCGGTCCGTGGTGAGCCAAGTTAAAAATCGCCGTATCGGATCAATGGACGACAGGCCAAAGGGTGAGGGGATAAGTATGGAGAAATGTCTTTTTTTTCGGGTAACAACTATTGCGCGTGCACCCGGCAGGAAAGGGATTCGGCTCCCTTTCTCCGTTGGGAGTGGGGGCAGACAGGTGGGTTTCCCTGCGCGCCTGCTCACTCTTCGCACGTGACATGAGGACAGGACGCGCCACATTTATTTGCCGTGCGAGATAGCTTTCCACGGCGACAGTGGCATGCAAATCCAAAGCAGCAAAACATTCGAGGTCCAGTCCGCTTGCATGATTTCTAATTCCCTTTCCTTTTGCCATCTCCTTTCCTTTTTTCCAGTTCTCTTTTTATTTCTAAATGGCCACGTTTAAACCCCGTCCGGACTGCTATGGCTGTCGCATTGATTCGTAGCTGCGCAATAAGTGTCACACGAGGACTACCCCCGGGACCGATGTAGGTCGAGGGAGGATCGCCGTTGGCCAAGAAGGAATTGATGCCTGAATGTGCCAAGGCCTGTTACGGCGTGGCATTTGAGCCCTTGACTTGTGCAGAATGTATGTGAATATTAAGCTGGAGAGGAGAACAAAGGTTGAAGGAAAGGTGTGGCCGAAGGTCGCACCTTTATCCTATCAGTCCTTCCTTATCTAATCTCCAGCCAATCGGCTATCAACTCTATCAACTACCACTGGCGACGCCGTGCCATAACAAGGCCCGACAGATGTTACGGCGTGGCGTGCCCTGACGTGCACTGCAGCCAGTCCTGATTTTTCTGGCTTTTTAGCAGAGATAGGAGGGGTCTCTCTTTGTCTAACCGCCGTGGCAACAGACCGAAGGCTGCATGAGAGTGGGGGACTTGCATTTCCAGCGAGGTCGCGTTAGCCGCCGGTCATGTACCTTGTAGCTACGTACCTCTAAACGGACCACAGGGAGGTCTATATAGAGAGCCGACCTCTTGAGAGGGATCTTCGAGATTCTGCTTCCTCAAGCACCTCTTGAGCCCCTTGAAAGATTATTATACGCATAATAGAAGTTACCCTTCTAAGCCGACATAGTCCCCTTGTTACACCGTGTTATGGCGTGGCGTGAGGCCGGGCTGGCTTAGCCATGTACGCCTGTCGTTCAAGTGCGGGGCACCAGCACACGCATCTTATAGATCCCCCTTTCCCTCTTCATTTTCAATTTTAAGGTCTACTTGGTAGGATTACTTGTGGTCGTTCTGCAGGCCTGTGACAATGACGAATTAACAGATGTAGCCAAAGCTTTTTATTTGCAATTGCCTGCTTATATCTACGATGTACTGCCATGGTCTCGCAGCGACTAGGGGTCTGGTGTCACGATCACGGAGAATAGGCTTCGCGGCCAGGTTCAATTGATGCTATGGACGAAGACTCTTCTAGGGGAGGGGAAAGGAAGAGAGGCGCGGTGCGAGAGAAAAGGTGGTACAATACCTCATGTCACGTGCGATGCCCTGAGCCCCGTGATCCATGGATGCCCCAGGCGTGCAGTGATATGCGTGCGGCGCGCGCGGTGCGCGGAGTGCGCCCGTATAGGGTACCTATATGTCACGGCCTGTAGGGTCTCTTGTATCCAGCAGAAGTTCTCGATCGCAGCGATCGATTAGATAGGCGGCCACACTGCACGTGACCCCGCACGAGGAATATCCGGCCCTCGCGCATACGGGCCCTGCGGGCCGGTCTTTCCGATATATCATCTTTCTGCTCCCCTCAATTATCACCCCTACAGGTCCATGATACTATCAGAGAGAAAACGAGATGACAGTCGACCGTCCGTTAATTTGGAGGGATCGACGGCGGGTCTATCTACCTGGAGGACCGTGCACGGGCCGACCGATAGGTCCATGGAGCTATCATGCAGG